GGTCCCCGAGGTGACGGCCAGCCCCGCGCCCACCTGGGACGCGCCCCCGGACAATGCCTCCGGCTGCGGGGAGCAAATCAACTACGGCCGGGCCGAGAAAGTTGTGATCGGCTCCATCCTGACGCTCATCACGCTGCTGACGATCGCGGGCAACTGTCTGGTGGTGATCTCCGTGTGCTTCGTCAAAAAGCTCCGCCAGCCCTCCAACTACCTGATCGTGTCCCTGGCGCTGGCCGACCTCTCGGTGGCCGTGGCGGTCATGCCCTTCGTCAGCGTCACCGACCTCATCGGGGGCAAGTGGATCTTTGGCCACTTCTTCTGCAACGTCTTCATCGCCATGGACGTCATGTGCTGCACGGCCTCGATCATGACCCTGTGCGTGATCAGCATAGACAGGTAAGGGCCGGGCTGCCGGCTCCCGGGGCCCGGCTTGGCACGTGCTGGCAGCTTTGCCCCGCGCGCCTGCCTTTGCTGGGAGCATCCGGACAGACTTCACAGCGGGATACAGGCGCTTGAAACACAAGCCCCACACACCAACCCCACACCTGCCCAACAACTTCAGTTACAGCATAGCCCATATACACCTGTGAAAGAAAAGCCTGGAATGTGTTGTTTTACCCTAGTGACCATTTTAAGACCAAAGTTAGAAGTATTTTAAACACTGGCAGCTCCACCAGGGTGTCCCTTGGTTTGGTTTTTGAAAGGAAGGGATATGATGCTCTCTAATTTTGACAAACCCTTTCTGTGAATCTTAGAGTCATTTCTTACGTTGAGAAATCAGTTGGAGAAAAACCATCCTGCTTCTCAGATTATAAGAGCTGCCCGCTTGGCCAATGAAAGTAGGCTGGACGGGCCCAGAACTGGGTGTCTACGTGGCTTAAACAGTGCGCTGTTTGGGATTGCTAATTCCCAATTCTCGCGAAGTCTTGTTTTAGTGCTACTAAACGCTGTTCAGTGACAGCGCTGTCCCTATTCTGCAAGCTTGCTGACTGGAGCCCTCCTCACTCTGAAAGGCTGGCTCTAGAGTTTCATCGTATCCCTAGGGAAACTTCTCTTGAGACCTCCGTTTATTGGAGTAATTGAAACAGAGGCTGACCGTCTGGAAGGAATGCTGGGGGAGAAATTCCTGCCTCATTAGGAGACCCTCAGGATTTCTTCCCTCTGAGATTACAGGATTTTGAAATGGAGCAAGTCTTTGGCCCTAAAAATATTATGCAGTTGACAACTCAAAGTATGGTCTCAATGCTCTTTGGCCGCGGAACAACTCTATTTCCCTTGAAACTGAAATACTAAACCTTAGTATTTCCACGCAATTCTGCTGGTGTTTTAAAACCAGCACAGCGCTAGTATCCTGTTGTGCTTAATGATACAGGGAAATGGTTGCTTATTTTCTTAGTGGTCTTGCAGAACCTTCACATAGGTAGACCTTTCAGCATAGGAGAACTAATTGATCCCTCCACACTTGAAGTGACAGTGCCTCAAAGGATGGTCTAGCATGAAACCGAGATTTTCTTTTCTTCCTTGAAAACAGTGCTGTTTGATTTGTGGTTTGTTCATACTTAAAACGTTCTGTGGTTTTGCTGCTTGTGTAGGGTTTTTAATTAGTAAATAAAGGGAATGATAGGAAAGGAATTATTTTCAAGAAAAGAAATATATTGTGGCTGGACTTAGTTCGTGATTTAGATTATTTAAAAAAAATTGGATCCTGCCATTTTATATATCATGGTAGGGGCTTCTGACAGCAAACAAGGAACTCCTTGAAGAGCAGACATGAACTGCATATGTGAGAGTATTAACACCAAACTTGGCAGCTGAAGTTCTGAACTACTGTATTTAAGAATGACAGAAACATATGCATTTACAGCCTGACTGGGGTGACAGAAATTAAGAGTGCATTCCCAACCAACGTAGCAAGTATATACTAGAATTAAAAAGCAGAAATTCAACTGCTCAGCCAACCCAAAGGGTGCTTCTTACACAAATGGAATCCTCTTCAATGGAACTTGGTGTAATAAAACAACAACTTATGCTACAAGTAGTGGATTTATAAACCATTTTCCTTTTCATAATTGATACATGATAAATAATTAGCACACTGTGCTGATTTCCTGACAGCCAGTACTTCTGTTCTGGGTGCACTCAGGTTTGACTGAGATCACAGATCTGAGTGACCTGAGGACTTAGCTCCAGTCAGTATCTGAGCTGCAGGCATCTGTCACTCAGTGTGCAGGTGTGACTGCACCAACAAGAATGCACTGAACACAGAGAAGAGGTTGATCTTTCATGACAAGAGCTTCTCATTCCTTCATTACATCCTTAGGAATGTCGCAAAGTGTTATCATAGGCATATAGGTTCTTTTTTTTGCCCCATGAGAATAGTTCTGTTGGCGAATTCTGTTTAGAAATGAGATCAACTTATCATTTCTTTAGATAAAATGGGAAGACACAGATTGATCATCTTCCAAGAACACACAAGACTAAAAATGAGAAAAAGGAAAATGCATTTGCTATCTAAGGTGAATTATTTTTGAGAAGAATGTTTTCTTGAGTTCTGTTATAGACTATGGCAGATGATATAAAATGTGCTATGTGGGACCAGCAGTTAGCGTAATGGCCATGTCACTAGACTCCCATGTAGTCGACCGCGGTTCGCGTCCCGGACCCAGTGGCTTAAAATTCACGCCGGGTGCATGTGCGTGCGTGCCCAAGATCCTGAGAGGAGAATGGAGGAGAAGGGATTGCGGCATGGCCATCCCCCCGGGGGGTGATTTCTCGCTTTCTCTCTGTCTCTCTCTGTCTGTCTGGTGAGTGCAGGCGCCCTACAGCAAAAAACCTCTCCCCCAAAAAAATGTGCTATGAAAATATGAAAAAAAATTAATCCTCATTCATTCCCTTATTCATTCCCTCTTGAGTACTTAATATAGGTTACATTGTGTTTTATGCAGTAGCAAGATGAATAACAATATTCTTGCCATTTGAGCTCATCCTGTATTGTGAGAGTTTGGCTAACTGTTGGGAATTTAACCTGTCCAAGATGGAACCTTTGATTTTTCTTAACCACTCATCACCATCAAGGGATGCTTCTCCAGTCTTTTCCAATATAATACCACATTGTTCTTCACACCTTCAAAATTCCCATCCTCTACCCTTTTCAGATAATGTCTCATTCATTAATAGTAGCCACTGAGTGGGAACTCTCTTATCTTTCTACCACAATCTTCCTTCATCTGTACTTTGCTAAAGACCTAGCCACCTCGACTTTATTTCCCATCCCCTCACCTTGTCAAGGACTTTTTCCATTTATTGATCCATTGTCTCCAGTCTGTCTTCTGCTTTTCTTTCTCTACTTGGGTCATCTTTGATCTTCCCTCTTTAAAAATCCCTTCCTTTAGCTTCACTGCTCTCTGTAGTTACTGTCCCATTTCACAGTTAAACTGCTTATGGGAACCGTGTCCACACCTATCTTTACTTCTTACTCTTCAGGTAGACGAATTTGACACCCACCAGGTCTATTCAACATTCTAACTGGTCGTCTTTGGTTCCATTTCTGTCTACCCTCCTCTCTTACCTGTGAAGAAGCTAGAGTTATATATTATTAAAAGTTTTAAGTGATGGGACCGGCAGTTGGTGTATGGCTATGTCGCTGGACTCCGATGTAGTTGGCCGTGGTTTGAGTCTCAGACCTGGTTGCTTAAACTCCTACCGGGCACGTGTGCGTGCGTGCGTGCATGCCCAAGACCCAAAGAGGAGAATGGAGGAGAAGGGATTATGGGGCGTGGCCATCCCCTCTGAGGGGTGATTTCTCACTTTCTGTCTCTCTGTCTCGCTCCGTCTTTCTGGCAAGTGCATGTGCCCTATAGCAAAAACCTCTCCAAAAAAAAAATGTTTTAAGTGAGATAAAATTTGTATGTAATAAAATGTATAGTTTTATTTTTTTCAGAGATGGAGAGAGGGTAAGAGAAAGAAAGAGAGAGAGAAAGCATCCCCTCTTCCCCCACTTCTAAGCAGCTTGTGGTCACATGACAATCCATTTTTCCATTTCTTTGTCTTGCTGAGATTTTTGTGTGCACACATATCCTGTTGGGGTCAGGATTTGAATTTTGTTCAGCCATGTGGGATCTGGTTTCTTCAATCACTAGGCCATAGGGTGACCCCAGAGTTACCTTTCATATATTGGTATTTATTTATTTATTTATTTTCGTTTACTATAGGGTGTTTGCACTTGCCGGAGAGAGAGAGAAAGGGAAAGTAAGAAATCAACTGCCGATGGGATGACCACACTGCAATCCCTTCTCCTCTTGGAATTTTGGGCATGCATGCACACATGCCTGGTATGATTTTCAATGTGCTGGGTCCAGGACTCAAACCATGCAGTTGACCATGTGGAATCCAGTCGTCTTAACCACCATTGGTTGGCACCCTTTTATATATTGTTTAGAAAATATACCAAACATTTCTACATATTGTTTAGGGAAGTTTATAAGAGAAAACTACAAAGTAGTGCAGAGGAACGCTAGACACCAGTTCAGGAGAGTGGTTATCTCTGGAGGAGTGGATGGAGGTGCGATTGGGGAATGGTATGTATATCCACTTTGGTGTCTTAGTATTGGTGGTGGATACATTCATAATCTTTGTATAATCTTTTTCAATGTCTGAAATTATTTTTTTACTTATTTTGAAATACAGGTAGAAAATGGGACCAGCAGTTGGTGTAATGGTTATGTCGCTGGACTCCCATGTAGTCGACGATGGTTTGTGGTGGCTTAAACTCACTTCGGGCATGTTTGTGTGCATGCCCAAGATCCCAAGAGGTGAATGGAGGAGAAGGGATTGCAGCATGGCCATCCCCCCTAGGGGGTGATTTCTCACTTTTTATCTCTCTATCTCTCTGTTTTTCTGGTGAGTGCACATGCTCTATAGCAATAACTTCTCAAAAAAAAAAAAAAAAAGAAAGAAAGAAAAAAAGAAATACATGTAGAAATTGCACAATCCTAAAAGTGGAGCTTGATGGTTTTCCACAAGATGGACACATCCATGTAATCAGCATGTCAAAAAATGAAACATCGGGCTGGCCTTGTAGTGTGGCAGTTAAGTCCTACACAGAGGAAGCTGGATCCCACATGGCAGACCAGGGATTGAGTCCTGGCCCCAGTATCTTGCAAAACACTAGGCATGCATGTATGAATGTGGAGAATTCCGAGGAGACGGAGAACTGGAGGAAGGATTGTGATGTGATCAGGGCTCGTTGAGGGATGCTTTCTCTCTTTTGTTTGCTTGGTCCCGTGCACATACACACATTCTCTAGTGTAAAAGGAAGGAAGGAAGAGAGGGATGCAGGAAGGGAGGAAAGAGACATTGCCAGCCTCCCAGAGGAGGTTATTGTTCTCAGTTCCTGA